GACCTGGCACAGCAAATGCCAGACCTGGCACAGCAAATGCCCGCAGGCTCTGCCTGTGCCCAGCTCCCTCAGCCCTCCCTGGGAGCAGAGACCAAAGGCTTGGCCAAAACCTCACTTCTGCCTCCCAGGGAAGCGTGAGCTGCTCCGAAATGCCCGCCTGGTCCTGGCACTGCTGCCTTTCCCACGCGCCTCCTGCCCTGGGGACGATTTTGGCTTTCCCAGGAGGGAGCCGTGCCAGGGAGGAGCCGCAGACCCGGGTCAGACCCCCCTGCTGAGGGTCTGTGCGTGCACCGGCTGCCCCCCTGCCACCCCAAAAATATCCTTACAAAAAAATACTCCGGGTTTGTCTGGTTTGGAGGCGTCATTCGGACAAAGGTCTCGGAAACTTCTCTTTCCTCACTCTTGCCTTCCTCCTGGGATTTTGGGGAGCTCCCTGGTGTCACTCTCCTGTTTATTGGCGCGGACTGTTTGAAATGTCCAATGTCCTGCTCTTTTCCTTTGTGTGTGTTTGCACCCTCCAGGGGAGGTTTTCCTGAGCACTGCCCTCAGTCCTGTCCTCCCCTCCTGAATCAAAGCAGCCCCAGCGCCGAGGCTCCCTCACGAGGGGCAGAGCAAAGAGTTTGACCCAGCACAAACAAGAGGCACTTTGATCTAAAAACAGCAAAAAATAAACCCGGCAACAAAGAGCAGCGGCTTGGAAATGGAATAAAACCTTTCAGCAATGACATCCTGACCCTGGGAAATCAACAGCACCTCTGAAACGGTGTGAAAATTAAACACGGGGGGAAATGGAGTGAAATACACACCAAATAAAAAAAAATTACTATAAAATAAAAAAAAATATTAATAATAAAATATACTGCTATAAAAGAAAAATTCAAAATAATAATAAAATATACTACTAAAAAAGAAAAACTAAAAATAAAATATACTACTATAAAATAAACAGTTAATAATAATAATAAAATAAAAATTATCAATAGTAAAATATACTACTGTAAAATAAAAAATTAAAAATAAAATATACTATTATAAAATAAAAAATTAAGAATAATAAAATAAAACTTATTAATAATAAAATATGCTACTGTAAAATTAAAAATAAAATCTACTACTATAAAATAAACTACTTTAATACACAAATGTTTTGTCAGATGTGAGTGCCCCACACTCAGCCAAGCTTTTGGCTGCCCCTGCGCCGCTCTGTGCCTCATTTCCCCTCTTCCAGCAGCGCTGGGAACCCCTGGGAAGGCAGGGGGCTCCCTGCTCCCGGCTCCCCCCGGCCCCGCTCGGCATCACCCACCTGAGCTCTCCATGGCCGGGCCGGCGCTGCCGCTCCGGGCGCCGAGCGCGGAGCTCCCCACGGCGCTGGGGCATGGCCTGGCAGCCGCCACGGTGCCTGCGGGAACGGAACGGCTCGGCTCGGCTCGGCTCGGCCGGGCTGGGGCTCGGGATGGGCCTGGGGGGCACCGGGACCCCGCGGGACCCCGCGGGCAGGGGCACAGCCCAGGGCTGGGCATGGGCGGTGCTGGGGGCACAGCCCCAGCTCGGAGCGGCGGGCACCGCCAGTCCCGGGTGGGCACGGCCGGTCCCGAGGCACCGCCAGTCCCGGGTGGGCACGGCCGGTCCCGGGTGGGCACGGCCGGTCCCGGGGCTCCACCAGTCCCGGGCGGGCACGGCCGGTCCCGGGGCACCGCCAGTCCCGGGTGGGCACGGCCGGTCCCGGGCGGGCACCTCCAGTCCCGGGTGGGCACGGCCGGTCCCGGGTGGGCACGGCCAGTCCCGGGGCACCGCCAGTCCCGGGTGGGCACGGCCGGTCCCGGGCGGGCACCGCCAGTCCCGGGGCACCGCCGGTCCCGGGTGGGCACGGCCGGTCCCGGGGCTCCACCAGTCCCGGATGGGCACGGCCGGTCCCGGGTGGGCACGGCCGGTCCCGGGGCTCCACCAGTCCCGGATGGGCACGGCCGGTCCCGGGCGGGCACGGCCGGTCCCGGGGCTCCACCAGTCCCGGGTGGGCACGGCCAGTCCCGGGGCACGGCCAGTCCCGGGGCACGGAGACCCCCGCTCCGCCCTCGGGCTCCTCTCGCCGCCGCAGGAAGCGGCAGCCAAATGCGGCTGAAGGTGTCGGTGGCTTCCCACATCCGCATCCTCCTGGCGCTGCGGGGGCGGGCGCTGCCCGCCTGCCACAGCTTCCAAATTTAGCAAAGCCCGACGTGAGCCCGGCCTGCCCGAGGAACTCTGCTTCTCCCGGCTGCTCCGGCAGGGCTCCTTTCCCTCCCGGCAGCGAAGAGCAGCTGAGGCTGAGCCCACAGCGCTCTGCTGCTCCCAGAGCTTGGGTGTCCCGGGAAAATCCAACAGGAAGAGGCAAAAGTGGTCCCCGGCACGCTCGGGACACGGTCACGCTGTCCGGGGAGGACAGGAGGTGCCGTGGGAGAAGAGGGTGAAAGGACCCGCCCAGGAACGGCTCTGAGGAACAGCGGGGTCAGGCATGGCCCTGCCAGGCTCCAGCCACTGCTCCTCCCTTGGCCAGGACCAGCACAGGAACCCAAACGAGCAGAAATTCCCCCTTTTCCCTGGGAATGTTTCTGACCAGCACAGGAACCCAAGCCAGGGAATGTTTCTGAACCCAAAGAACAGAAATTGCCCCGGTTCCCTGGCGTGTTTTCTGCCTGCTGTGCTGCCCGAGGCTGAGGGCACAGCCCCTCAGCCCTGCCTGTGCCCATCCCAGACCCAGCAGGGTCTGCTCTCTGTGCCCCTCGTCCCCCTGGACCTGCTGCCTCCCCTGCAGCAGACACGAGGCACAGCTCATCCCATAATAACCGGCTGCTTTGCTGTCTGCCAGCTCAGCAAGACCAGAGCCTTCTCTGCATTCATCCCACTTCTTTGCAGAGCTGCAAATCTCTGCTTCCTCTCCGCAATTCTTAAAATACCCATGGCATCAGCTGGATTTTATTCCTTTTGCAGGGAGAAAAATGAAGAAGGAAGGGCAAGAACAGAAGTCGCAATTCTCCCTTCAGGATTTGATAATTCTGAGATTCATAGGAGAAAAACCCTAAATGACCCCAAAACCGCCTTCCCCAAGGGTTTGGAGCAGTTTTGGGGAACAACTGGTTCTATGCTTCAAAATGCAGGACTTGGCAGTGAAAGTGCAGCTCACCCTGGACCCTGGCAGATAAATTCATGGGTTAAGGGGAATTGCAGGCTTAAAGGGAACCCTCCTGTTCCAAACTGCAGGTGCTGGAGACAGCGAGAGCAGGGCCTGGCTGAGCACAGGGTGCTGAGCGCCCCACAAACCCTCCTCAGCCCCTCCTCTGCAGGGCAGCAGCCCGGGGGCAGGGTTGGGCAGTTTGTACCAGTGCTCTGTCCCAGCCCAGCTAATCCCAGGTGAAGCTCTGTGCCATTCCGGGATCCTCCAGCCTCTGCCTCCTCTCACCTCACTGAAAATCCCATTGAGGGCTGGGGCCGTGGTGACTCAGGCTGGCCCCTGGAAATGTGGGGCTGCAGCAGCTCCCCAAAAACCTCTGCTCTGTCACGCAGGCTGTAACGCTGTCGGAAATCACCAAACCCCAACCTCCCCCCCGCGACCAGGTGAAACACGAGAGGCACAGAAATAGCTGAAGCGAGGCAGAAATAGCTGAAGCCACGGAAGAAAACCCAGCCCCAAAGCCTTGGGTGGTGGGAGCTGTGCTGGCAGCAAACGAGGCTGCCCTGGGGAGCTCCAGCATGTCCAGGATCCTCTCTCTGCTCCCACCCCAAATCCCTGGAGCTGGGCTGGCCATACCAACCTGAGCCCCCTCCTGCTCTCGTTTCCAGATTTAACTCCAGCCCTGGCAGCACTCTGAGATGAAAGCAGATGCTCTCCCTCGTGCTCCTACTGCCAAGGAAGAGAATCTCGAGCCCAGGCTCGGCTTTCCAGCATCTCCTTGAGGCTCCGTTTGCCTGCTGGCTGCTCGGGGAAGGCACAGCCCTGCCGGGGGTCCTGCCCGGAGAGGGGGAGAGCACGGAGGGCTCTCGGGGCCAGCTCAGGAATGAAACTCCTTCACTGGCCCTGCAGTGAGCGTTCATCAGCCACAGCTCTGCAGGAGCCCCCAAGCCTTTGCTGGAGCTGTGGAAGTCCAGCAGCTTCCTGGACACCACCGACTGTTTGGAGACTTCCTTGCCAACATCACATTTCATTCTTCCTAAGGAAAGGAAAGAGTCTTCCGGAAACAGCAGCTTTTTAGATTTAGCATCTCTTTCCATCCCCGGAGTCAACTTTGGAAAAACAATCACAGGGAAAAAATAGGTGTGATTTGAAAGCCACGGCCAGGACTGTGCTCACAAACAGCCCAGGCAAGCACTGCCCACCTGAGGGGGAATAAAAGCAGGGAGAGCTCAGGCTCCCAAATGTGGCCCAGCTGGGAGGGCCAGGCTGTTTCCTGGGCTGGGAGGGGCTGAGGGGGGGCACAGCTGCTCCTTGCCTCCCTCCAGAGCCATGCCCTGGGCAGGACTGTCATCTGCACGGTCACTGGGACAGCCCTGCACTGTCACACACGCCTCGGTGCCACCGGCTGGCACAGAGCAGTGCCCCAGTGCCCGGCTCTGTGCAGGACTCTGCTGCCCATCCCCTGCCTCTGCCACAGCTGCCTCAGGTGGCCGCGGTGGGGGTGACCTGGGGAGGGCACAGAGGAACCCCTGGGGGTGACAGGAAGAGAATGACAGGAAGAGGGTGACCAGAGTGACTGCGTGGCACCCAGCCCTGCGGGGGCAGTGCCAGGGCTGGGGGTGCTCTCTTGGCACCGTAGGAACACAGTGATGTGACAGCTGTGGGCAGGGAGGGCACAGAGAAGCCCTTAGCAAGGAAGGGATGAGGGTTTAGGGTTGCACCAGGACAACAAGGTCAAAAAGGCGATTTAATTACAGGGCAGAGACATCAACAGCTCCTCTGCTTTCAGTGAGCTCCCGAAAACTCCAGTCTGGCCTGAAGAACTACAGCACCCTGCCCTGAATCACACCCGGCCCAGCACAGCTCCTGAAGCTCTCCCTGCCCTGAATCATACCTGGATCAGCACAGGTCCTGCAGCTCTCCCTGCCCTGAATCATACCTGGATCAGTGCAGGTCCTGCAGCTCTCCCTGCCCTGAATCATACCTGGATCAGTGCAGGTCCTGCAGCTCTCCCTGCCCTGAATCATACCTGGATCAGCACAGCTCCTGAAGCTCTCCCTGCCCTGAATCACACCCAGCCCAGCACAGCTCCTGCAGCTCTCCCTGCCCTGAATCATACCTGGATCAGCACAGCTCCTGAAGCTCTCCCTGCCCTGAATCACACCCAGCCCAGCACAGGTCCTGCAGCTCTCCCTGCCCTGAATCATACCTGGATCAGCACAGCTCCTGAAGCTCTCCCTGCCCTCAGTCACACCCAGCCCAGCACAGCTCCTGCAGCTCTCCCTGCTTGGCGAGCTGCCGTGGGAGGGAGCAGCATCCCCAGCAGATAAGAGTCACGGGAGGCGGCTCTGAGCAGCCCGAGGTGCCGAGCCAGGCGCTCAGGGCAGGAGGACTGAGCCCTGCCCGCCGCAGGCTTGGCTCACGTGCCTTTGCTCGCAGCGAGCCCCGAGCACGCAGATTTTTGCTTCCTTTCTGGACGGGGCCCCGCTCTCTGCTCGTTATCGCTCTGCCATCGCTTCTATTGCCCTGTCACCGCCGCTCGGGGCCCCAGGGGACAGCCCAGGCGCCGGGCCAGCTGGGCAGCCACAGGACCGCACACGCAGCCAGGGCCAGCGTGCGAGTCACCCCCGCCGTGCCAACATCCCCAGCACAGCCCCGGGCACGGGCAGCGGGGACGGGGCGCCCGGGGGTGGCCGGGGTGGCACTGGGCAGGTGACTGTCCCTGGCAGCACAGAACAAAGCGGAGCGGCACGGGCTGGTGCCAGGCAGCCCCCGGGATGGGGCAGAGCTCACTTACCGGGCCGGGCCGGGCCGGGCCGTGCGGGGCTGGCACGGCCGGAGCAGCGACAACGCCCTGCCAGGCCCGGTGCCGGCCCCGGGGCTCGGGCAGCAGGAGCCCCGCGCTCCTGCCTGGGACGGGCTCCAGCCCCTGCCCGGCAGGATCCCGCCGGCTGGCAGGGCAGCTGGCACTGCTGCTCCGCCCGCAGCATCGCGTTCCTGATCTCCTGCACCACCGCGGCTCCCTCCCCTCGTCCTGCCCGGGAAAAGGAACGGCTCTGCCCCCAGAGCCCTCCCGGGTTCTGTCAGCCCTGGCATCCAGCGCTGCTGCAGACGGTGCCAGTCCCCAGACAAAGCCCTCGGCAGGGGCAGAGCAGCCCCGAGAGCAGCGGGGCACGGCATTCTCCACGGCATTCCCGCGGCATTCCCCACGGCATTCCCACGGCATTCCCCTCGGCATTCCCGCGGCATTCCCCACGGCATTCCCCACGGCATTCCCCACGGCATTCCCCACGGCATTCCCCACGGCATTCCCCACGGCATTCCCCACGGCATTCCCGCGGCATTCCCGCGGCATTCCCCGCGGCCGGAGCCGGGGCTCTTACCTTCCTCAGGCCGGGCTCGGGGGGCCCAGGGAGCCGCAGCCCCCCGAGGGGGCCCGGCCGGCGCGGGGGGCACGGCAGGGTCCCGCGGGGGACATCGGCCGCGGGTGGCGGCGGAGCCGCGGCGGCTCCCGGGCTCTGCCGCCGCTTCACAGCGCGCGGGGCGGAGGGGAAGCGCCGAGTTATTTCGGGACAATTTCCTCTCCGGCGGAGGAGCCCCGCGGTGCCAGAGCCGGCCCCGAGCGCGGCTCCGTCCCCCGGCGCTCTCCGCACGGGCGGAGCAGCGAGGGAGGCTCAGCCCTGCCCTGGGCGCGTCCCCTCAGAGCAGGTCGGGCCAGGGGATGAGTCCGTGAGCCTGGCACCGCCCCTGGCACCAGCCCTGGCACAGCCCCCGCTGTGCTGCCAGCCGCCCCAGACAGGGCGATCCCTGCCCTGCCGCCGCCCAGGGAGGCAGAGGGGGCCCGGGTGCTCACACCTCCCGACAAACGGCGCCGCTCCGGGACACCGGGAGTCCCTCCAAGGACACTTTTCCATCCGCCCGCTCCAGGCACGGTGTTTGTGCCCCTGGCAGCGCCTCCCGCCCGCAGCATCTCCCACATCTGCTTTTGCTCAGGGCTCTGCGGCTGCCGCGGCAGCTCAGCTGCTGCCAGCTCGGGCACAGCCGGGGCAGGGAGCGCCGGTCCCCCGGGACG